CCCCAAAACCCCAAAACCCCAAAACCCCAAAACCCCTTTATCTTACCAATAAAATGAAAATTGGGTATAAATCTGATAAATTATCCTGAGCGTTTATTTTACCTTCTTGACAGTTTTTGAACGTAATCTTTGGTCAGTTAAGCTATCCATACGGGCGAAGATTTCACCGTCATAGTCTTCACTGATTTTGCCTAGCTTTTTAAGCACATCTGCCTTGAAAATCATGTAATCTTGTTTAGCTGTTTCATAATCAAATTTTTCATTGATGAATGGATGGAGAAGTAATTCAGCAGCTGATGGTCTGTCGTTGTAATCTTTAACCATTCAGCATTCAATAAAGGAGTTGAATAAATCACTCCATTTTTCAGGGACTGCTAGAGTTGGAGAAGGCCTCGAAAGTATGTGATAGATTGTCTTCTGAGTTCCTTTCTTTGGAAAAGGTGGAAAACCTTGAGCTAATTCAAATGCAAATACTCCAAGACTCCAAATATCTCATTTCTCATTATATTTATTATCCCCTTTTAGTAATTCTGGTGCCATCCAGTATAAAGTGCCTACTCGGGATTCCCTCATTCTTTTCTCTTGAGTTAACTGGCATGAATAGCCGAAATCGGTTAATTTAATGGCAGCAGTATCCTTTTCGATCAAAATATTATCGCTCTTGATATCACGATGAATTATCCCTCTTTTATGGAGACTATAGATACCTTGAAGAGTCTCTCTAAGAATGTAGCCTATTACATTTTCAGGGATGTCTAGATTCATGTCTTCAACCACAGGGGTGAGGCATCCCCCGTCGAGGTAGTCCATTACCATAAAGATCCTCCCTTTGTACAGGTACACGTCATGTAGCTTAACAACATTGGGATCATCAGTTGTTCTCATTATGGTAATTTCATTCCCGATGTATACTTTTTGCTTGTTGGAGGTAATATCCATGTACTTTAGAGCGTAGATTTTCTGGTCAGCAATCTTTGTGCACATATATACCTTTCCAAACCCTCCTTCTCCAATTTCGTTGAGGATAATATAATCTTTGGAAGGATCCGATTTGATAAAAACAATACTTTTCTTTTCTTTATTTCCGATATTCTGAATTTGTTGGTAGTGGATGAATTGACCCAGCTTTTTGCCTTCGTATCAAAGTTAAGGTTTCCAAAACGCTTATAGGATCGTTGATAACATCTTTTCTGGTAAATCCAGCCTCTTTGAAATCTGATTTCAGTTGAGGTGTGAGACCTGAAATTCCTTCCTCCTCATTTTCATCTACTTCTACCTCAACTTCCATTTCTGGGGCTTTGATTTCTTCTTTTTCTTCTTCACTTGGAAAGGAGATAATGAATTTTCCAGGCTTAGATTGCTTAACATAGTTAATAATATTGGAATCTATAACAGGGACAACCTCATCAGGAAGTAAGTCAGTCTCTATTATTGACTCTTCAGCTAGAATATCATCTCACTCCAATAGTTTCGCCCATACGTCTGGCATCCCTGTAAGTTTGCCTTCTTCGTTCAGCCCCATTTCGATTTGTTTGACTAGGCCTTTGAGTTTGGAGACTTTATGGACTGAATTGCTAGCTCTCTTTCTAGTAGCTTTTGCCCAATTATCTTCTTCCTCTTGAGGGGCTTTTCCTCCCATTATTTTTACTGATGATTATTAATTTAGAATTTATGGGGTTTTGGGGTTTTGGGGTTTTGGGGTTTTGGGG